TTTTTTTTTAAAATGACTAAAAAGTTCAAGAAATATAAATTATAGTTATTTTATATTTCTACTTTAGATAATGAATTAATTTAATTTAAGACAGACATTGATTATTCTTAGTGAGAAGTATAGTCAATTTAGTTCAAAGAATAAATGAATTGTTACTACTTTGAAATGATTTTATCTATTTCCTTATGACTTTTTGTATTTAAAGAGCAATGGAATAAGACGGAATTATTTTTTGTTATTAAAATACGTTCAGTAAGTTATACTGACGTTTATTTATATTAGCAATATCCATCACAATAATAAATATATCCTTTCATCAATAGAAAATAATGAGTAAATTTGATTAAACTATTTAGATGGCTAACAAGGATATATTCTTCATTCCAGTTTAAAGAAATAAAGATGGTTTTTTATTAACTTTCTTAGAATTTTAATATAGAAATCAAAAATAATCAATTAAGTCAAAGATATTTAGTGTTTGTAAAACCCTTTATCAATAATTGTCTTACAAGCTTTAAGTTGTTTTCTTTTTCTTGCTTTTTCATCTTGTCTTTCTTTAATTTTAATTTTTCTATCAAGATGTAATTGAATTCTTTCTTGTTTGTATTTATCTAATATATTAGGATTAGCATATTCTACTCTAAATTTTAATCCTTTCCATGTTAACATATTTAAAGTAGAAAGACATTGATGTAACAATAATTCATTTTTTGCTTTTAGTTCAACATATGCAAATAATGAGTTTTTCCACGGTTTATTAATAATTTGGATTGAAAGAACTTTTCCATAATTAATAAAACGTTCTTTAATTTGTTGTTCAGTTATTGATTTATCTATTCCACCAACAAATAGTCTTTTAGTTAATGGAAGATCAATTACATTTTCTTTACTTGGAGTTTGATGAATATTTTCATTTTTAATTTCGTCTTTGATAGGTTTAAATTTTGCAGCCTTTTCATTTAATGAAAGAGAAGAAGAAGAAAGTGATTTATGTTGTTTTGGCATTTCTGATGTGTATTTTGAAGGTAAAAAAAGATAATAAAAAAAACAAACTAAAAAATATAATATTATAATGATTACACAGTTATTATACATTATGTTCTTTATTCAATTCACTTTATCTGTTGAAATAAAACAATGTATTACTGTGAATTATGAAAGTGAATTATTTAAAGGAATGAATATTATTCATTCATATCCACATAATCCACATTCATTTACACAAGGATTAGCTATATTAAATAATACATTATTTGAATCAACAGGATTATATGGAAAATCTTCAATAAGAATTGTAAATAAAATAACAGGTAAAACAATACGTAAAACTAAATTACCTAATAGTTTCTTTGGAGAAGGAATAGCTATTATAAATAATGAATTATTTCAATTAACATGGAAAAATAGATGGGTAAAAGTATATAATATTTCTAATTTAAAAGAAGTCAGGAATTATAGATTACCATTTCAAATTAAAGAAGGATGGGGAATGACTCGAATAAATCAATCACTTGGGATTAGTGATGGAAGTGATCAAATATATATTGTTAATCCAGAGACATTTACAATTCAACATTTAATTAAAGTAAAACGAGGGAATAAACCATTATATAGAATTAATGATATTGAATATATTAATGGATATATATTTGCTAATATTTGGTATGAAGATGTTATTTGTGTTATTGACTTAGTTACAGGAAATGTTATTAGTGAATTTTGGTGTAATATAAATAAAAGTCCAGGAGAAGATGTATTTAATGGATTGGTCTATGACTCAAATAAAAAAACATTATTGATGACAGGAAAGCTTTGGAATAAATTATATGAAGTTGTTTTAATCAAATAAATAATTCATTTTAATATCATTTTATTTAAAAAAAAAGGAAATTCTACTTAAAACTAAATAATTCTATTTCATCTTAAATGACATTATATAACAAGAGAAATTCAAAAGCATTAATGTTATCAGAAGAGTCTTTAAAAGAATTATATTTAATATGGAAAAAAGGAGGGTATATAGGATTAGTATTTGATAAAATAATGCATTTATTGTTTGTTCTTTCAAAAGTATTAAAAGAAGAAAAAATATAATATAATAAATCATTTATAAATAGTGAAGTAATTATATTAATGACGGTATGTATTATTCTTACAATATTAGACTTTAATAAAATGTTTAATACAAAATCAAAAGAAAATGAATTATTTGATTATTTTATTTTAAATGATGGTTTTAGAATTTGGTGTATTTGGTGTATTGTTATATTCTTCTCTCCTTTTATTATTATTCAAATATATTTCACTGTTAAAAAATTACTTTCTTCTAATACTATTGAAGCAAAAGAATTTTATAATATAAATCATTTTCAAGACTTTAATAGAAATTGGAATGGAATATCAAAAATAATAGCACCATCTTCATCATTAAATAGAAAAACATTTGTTCGAATGTATAATAATAAAATTGATCCACATTCTAATTTAATTATTCGTTCATCAATTTCATGGAATTATAATTTATTAACATTGTTATTTAATAGATATTCTTTCTTTAAACATTATCCATCAAAATATCTCATTAAAATTACTCAATCAATTTTATTTCCTTCTTTCTTTGATGAAACTTTTTGTAGAAATGTTCAACATGATAGTAATTTACAAAAAATATGGAAAAATTAGTTTGTTTTATATTAAACTTAATGTATTTTTTTTATTATTGCATTTTTTTTTTCTTTCTTCTTTCTCTCACATATTTAGTATTCAAGCTAAAACAAATGAAATACGTTTTCTTCATATATTTCCTTTAAACATTCTTTTTGCTTGTTATAATGGTTATCTTACTTTATTAAAATACTTTAGTTCATTTACTAGTTTGTTTGTCTTTACTTCTTCTCTTTTAAATCATTCTTTTTTATGTTAATCTTTTAGGTAAAAATTTAATTCTATTAAATAAATATCATTTCACTAAATACGCTTGGTTATTATATCGTAAATATAATGAATTACCACATGAAACTTCTACTAGACTCTTTGAGGCAATTCCATTGGCTCAACAATTAACTGGAATTAATCAAAAAGGAATTTTATTTCATATAATGAGAGTTTTAAAAATTTTAGTCTCTGGTCTTTGTTTAATTATTATTCCTTTAGCCTCATTAACTAAATTTACTTTCTTTGGTATTTCTTCAACTCTATTATTAATGATTGCAATTCCTACTATCGCTCTTATTTATTCTCAAACATATAAAAAACAAACAATTAAATCCCCTAGACAAATAGCTCAATATTTACAAAACTTCACTAAATATTACGATGAAAGATGGGAAAATCCTTCTATGGAAAGACAATTATTAACTGAGTTTGAAAATTCAATATTTAAATCAAATTTAAAACAAAGTTTGGATGAAATTATTGCTCCATTTTATGTTAATTCTTTATTATCTCACAACTTATTTTCTTCAAATTCTGAATTAGTTAATTTAATCAGTTCTGGTGAATTACAACCTCTTCCACCTCCTCAACTTCAAAGTAATACTACATTTACATCATCTCTTCATGGATTATCAGCTTATTTGAATTTAGTACATAATTAATAAAAATCATTTTTATTTTAATTTGTATTTAAATAAAAAAAGAAAAATAAAAAATTCATAACAAATCACACTCAGTTCTTCTTAATGAAAGCTGGAGCTTCAATTGGAGTTAATACTTTTGGTCCATTTTCAGTAACAATAATTGTTGCTTTAAATTGAGATACTAATCCAGTCTTTTCATAAACAACTGTATATGAATCAACTAAATCGTGTTTTGCCATTTCAACAATACCCATCTTAGCTTTAGATTCATTTTCAAGCATTCCAAGAGAGAATGGGAATGTAGGATATTTGTTATTAACTTCTCTGAAAATTTGAACAGATGTTCTCATTTTAAGAATATATGTTTCATCAATATTTCTCTTATAAACTGTTGTTCTAGTTTCTTTTTCTACTGGTTTAGCAGCTCCAGTAGTTAAAATGATATCTAAATTCCAAACATCATTTAATTCAATTTTCATATCTTCAACAGCAGATTTAGATGGAACATTAAGAATAAATTTATTTCCATCAATCATATATCTTTCCATATTTCTGGAAACAATGTTTTCAAATGCTTTAACATTATATTTCTTACAAACTCCATCAACTACTGTTGTAATATCTGATGTATTAACTCCTACTTGAAGTTTTGAAATAACTTCTTGAAGTGCAGTATATCCTGCTTCAATAATAGTTGCTTTATCTCCTGTTGCTTCTTCTCCAATTACAATAGTTTTACATGCCTCAGCAACAAATCCTGAAATATGTGTTGCTAATTCAATCTTAGCTAAATCTCCTTTTTTCATACTAGTCTTATCTTCAGCTAATGGACAGAAATATCCACAACAATTGTTTAATGAAATACAACATGGGAATGCAATTCCTTTCTCATATGAATATTCATTCTTAAAGACTTTAGCTGCTTCTTCATCAATAAATTCATTAACTTTCTTACATACTTCATAAACAATTGCACCATCAACACAAAGTGATTCAGCAAGTTTCATTGCAGCATTGGTAATTTCTGCTGCTTCTTCATAATGTTTAACAACTCGTGGATCACCAGCAGATTCAAGTTCTTCTTCTTCCTTGTTTTCTTCTTCTTTTTTAATTTCATTTTCTTGTTTCAATTGTTCTTTCTTTTGTTGAGTAGCTATTTTCTTTTCAACTGAAACAGCAGACTTCTTTGGTTTATGAATGGTGCTCATATGGTTTATTGAATATTAGTTTTATCTTCTCTTTTATTTTCCTCCTAGGGTTGTCTTGTCTTTTCACTCTTCTTCTCTTACTTGATAATCTATACTTTATAGTTTAAAACTTATCCTATGTAGAATGTACTGTTTCTTCATCTCTCTTTTTTCATAATCATAATTTGAAAAATCTAAAATTTTCATCAAATCAACGTCGATTTCAAAAATTGTGGAACAGACACAACCCTAAAATACCTTTTAGAAGAAAGAATGGCTTACGTACCACCACATTTAAGAAACAAAGAGAAAACAACAATAATGAAAGGAGAACCTACTCCAATTAGTCCATGCTTTAGTAAAAAAGGAACATATAAATCAGACCATATTCCAATAACATCAAGAACTCCTCAACCATCTCGTAGTTCATCAACAATTTATAGAAGTGATACACCTACATTTACACGTAGAAATAATAGAAGTACAAATAAAGATAGATGGTATGGTTATAGGGATTCTAGAGAAGATCCAAAAAGATTAGAAAAAAGAAATCAATGGTTAGAAGAAACAAAAGAAGAACGAGAAAAATTGATTGATGTAACTGTTTCATATGAAAATCTTGAAATAGAAGTTACAGGAAAAGATCTTCCAAAAGATACAATAGAAACATTTTATGATATTGATTTAGGTGAAGAATTAGATCATAACATTTTTAAAGCTGGGTTTTATCATCCAATGCCAGTCCAAAAAGCAACTATTCCAATAGTATTAGCTAAACGTGATTTAATGTCATGTGCACAAACTGGATCTGGTAAAACAGCAGCATTCCTTTTTCCAATTATTTCAGATATTCTTAAAAATCCACCAATGCCAAGACAATCAAATTTTTCACATAGAGTTACTGTGTTTCCTGTTGCTTTAATTCTTGCACCAACAAGAGAATTAGGACAACAAATTTATGAAGAAGCAGTTAGATTCACAGAAGATACCCCAATTAGATCAGTATGTGTTTATGGTGGATCTGATTCTTACACTCAAATTCAAGAAATGGGAAAAGGATGTGACATTCTTGTTGCTACTCCAGGAAGATTATTATATTTCACTGAAAAGAAAATTGTTTCATTATCTTCTGTTAGATATCTTATTTTTGACGAAGCCGATAGAATGCTTGATATGGGATTTGAACCACAAATTAGAGAAATTTGTGAAGATAATGAAATGCCACCTGTTGGAAAACGTCAAACATTAATGTTTTCTGCTACTTTTCCAAAACAAATTCAAAGACTTGCTGCAGATTTCTTAGATGACTATGTCTTTATTACTGTTGGAAGAGCAGGAAGTACTGTCGAATCAATTCAACAAATTATTTTATGGGTTGAAGAAGAAATAAAACAAGAAGCAATTTTAGATGTTTTAGGAGAATTTGTAGGAAAAGGTCAGAAAACAGTTATTTTTGTTGAAACAAAGCGAGGTGCTGATATACTAGAAAATTACCTATATGATCATGGATATAAAGTAGATAGCATTCATGGAGATCGTTCTCAAGCTGATCGTGATTTTTCATTGAAAAGATTTAAAGAAAATGTTATTCAACTACTTGTTGCAACTGATGTTGCTTCTAGAGGATTAGACATTCCAGACATTGAGGTTGTCATTAATTATGATATGCCAAATGAAATTGAGAGTTATGTTCATCGTGTTGGAAGAACTGGACGAGCTGGTAAAAAAGGAACTGCAATCACTTTCATTAATGAAAAAACCCAAAATTTAATACCACCATTAGTCTCATTATTAGAAGAAGCAAAACAAACAATACCAGATTGGTTAGAAGAAAAAGCACAAGAATATAGAAAACCATTTGGCTCAAAAAGAGGTAGAAAAGGTGGGTATAATAGAAGAGGAGCTGGAAGGTTTGGAGGAAGAGATAGAAGATATGAAAGAAGAAGAGACAATGAATGGGATAATGCTAGATCAGTTAGTACACCAATAAAACCTCATATGTTTGATTAATGTGAATTAATTAAAAGTATTAAAAATATTTAGAAGTATTATTT